GGGGAAGCTGTGGCTCACTGTGCTCACTGAATAGCGACGTCATGAAATCCAGTCATGGCAACTAGAAAGAGGAGATATTGTCAATAGACAAAAAACTTTTGATATGTAGGAGTTGATCAAAATAGCATTAGGTTCTTTGAGAATGGGAAGGGCTTCCGAATTACTATTTTTTATGATGAGAGGGATGTGGAATGGCTGTTGAATTGTTTCAAAAGGTTCTTTTGGGTGAAGGGGGAAGAAACGTGGGCGCGGAGTAGATGGGACAGCCGCTGGTCACTAATGATGATGTTGGGTCAGAACAGAAGGGGAGATTTCTGGTTTTCTCAAAGTATAGTCGAGGAGGGTACAGACGGATATTCGTCCCATATGGGGAGAAGGCTGATGGTGGTGGATGCTGGTGCTGGCGTTGCATGAGGCTGCTGGAGTGAAGTTAGAGATGCCCAGCAGAAGCAAGGGAAAGAGCACTCCATTTATTCAGGAATGTGAGACTGCGAGGCCTTAGACCATTTCGGTGGAGAGGTTCTGGAATAAAACCTATGCTACTTAAAAGAAACTTTGGGACTTGGGATACTGTTTAGCAATCATGCACACTCACATTGAATGTTTTGCATATATTGATTGGCTTGAATCTAAAATGAAGCTCCACTGCGGATTACTGTAATTTTTATTGGTGGGAACCTGATATCAAGGAGAAGTAAGAAGCAGGTTGTTGTGTCCGGTCAAGTGCAAAATCTGAGTATAGAGCTATGGTCTACTCCACATGTGAAATCTTATGGTTACATCATCTTTTAGCTGATATTGGTTTAAGACATGTGTCACCTACAAAACTTTGATGTGATAATCAACTTGTTTTTTATATTGTCTTGAATTCAATGTACCATAAAAGAACCAAACACATCGAAATTTTTTGTCACTTTATCTATGAGAAGATTCAGGAGAATTCGATAGACTGACTATGTGAAGACAAAAAAACAACTACGTGATACATTCACAAAAACTTTAAATGGAATTTGAACTGAATATCGTCGTAACAAACTTAGCATGATTAATATCTATGCTCTAGCTTCAGGGAGAGTGTTTACAATATTACATAATATTTTCTTATATAATATTGTAATTATTGTTAGTCGACTTTCCATATATATTAACATAATTATGGGCAGCAGATTAATAGATTAATTTATGTTAGTCTCTTACATAGATCCCTCTGTATGTATATATATCTCAAATCTATTGGAATAAAATCATCAAAAAGCATTCCTATACTTTTTTGTTCAATTGCACAAACCAATACCAAAATGATGGTGAACGTAACAATTCTTGCTACCATTATGGTGAGAGGTATTTTTCGGGTCATCAGTGTAAAGTAAAAACAGTCATGGCGATGGAAGAATGCGAGGAAAAGGAGGTTGAGAAGGAAGAAAATCAAAAGGAAGAATAATTGGAAACCTTGGGAGGCACTGATATCCTGTCATTACAAGCTATAAAAGCTTTTTCTGTAGGAGGAACAGTGAGGATCAGAGGGTTACTAAATAAGAAAGCTATAATGATTCCACTAGACACTGGAAGTTCCTGTTTGTTTATGGATTCCTCTGTAGCGGAATGATTGAAAAGGAAAGTTGTGTACAATAGACCCCTCACTGGGGTGGTGCCTAATGGTCACAAAATGACTATTGAAGAGGAGTGTATGGAGGTTCAATAGAGGATGCAAAATTATGCTTCTACTACAACTTCAGAGTAATTCAGTTGGGAGGATATGACACGATGTTGGGAGGGGAGTAAATGAAGATGTATAACCCCATAATCTTTTATTTTGCTGAGCCTAAAGTGACATTCAAAATGAAAGGAAAATAGATAACATTCCAGGGGTGAAGGTTCCTGATAAGCTGACTAAATTGTCGAGTGAAAGACTCAATAAAATGTTAAAAAGCAGGGGCAAACAGAGTACAGGGACAGTATACTCTCTGGTCAATAGAATCTGACCTACCAAGAAGTCAAGTTTTACGCGAGAATGATAATAACATGGAACAGATGCTGCAAACTTTTCAGGATATCTTTGAGGAACTAAAAGGGTTACTATCATCCATGGGCCTAGAACATGTCATACCTCTTATCAGTGGCAGTTCTCCAATTAACTTAAGGCCTCATAGATACCCACATTTTCAGAAAAAGGAGACTGAACAGCAAGTGGAAAAGATGTTGGATGCTTCAATCATTTGCTCAAGCCATTCTCCATTTGCATCTCCTTTCCTATCAGTCAAAAAGAAGGATAAAACCTGAAGATTTTTCTTGGACTATAGGGAGCTCAACAAGATCACAGTCTATGATAAATTCCCAATTCTTGTTATTGATGATCTCTTAGATGACTTTCCTGGAGCAGGATTGTTTTCTAAGATAGATTTAAGGTCCAGAAAAATAGCCTTCAGGACCCATCATGGACACTATGTGTTCAGAGTTATGTCCTTCAATTTAATCAATCCACCAACCACCTTTCAATCCCTCATGAATGACATATTTGAAGCTTACTTAAGGAAATCTGTACTTGTATTTTTTATGGCATTTTTGTATACAGCCCTTCAGTGGAACAGCATAAAAGGCACCTAGATTTAGTGTTCACCCTCCTCAGGCAGCATCAACTATATGCAAAAAACTATAAATGTTGTTTTGCCCAAGAAGAGATTAAATACTTGGGTCACATTATCTCTAAGCAAGGAGTCAAAACTGGCCTTAAAAAATAGAAAGAATGACAGTCTGGCCTCTTCCAATCTCTATCAAGGATCTCTGGTGTTCTCTGGAACTCACAAGATACTATTGGAAATTTATCCACAATTATGGCACCATCAGCAGACCCTTGACAATATGCTGAAGATAGATAGATTCAAATGGACAGAGAAAGAAGAAAGAGCCTTTGAACTACTTAAAGAAGTAATGACTGAAGCACCAATATTGAGGTTGCCTGACTTTTCTAAGCAATTCATTCTGGAAGCATATGCTTGTGGAGCAGGGACAGCAATATACAAAATCAAGGGTTGTTTATATCAACAAAGCTCTCTGCGATATAAACTATTGTGTATATCAGCAAAGATCTCTGCAAAAGAAATCAAGGGTTGTTGGTTTATGAGAAGGAGTTGTTGCTCATCCTATATGTAGTGAGTAAATGGAGGCATAACTTGGAAGGAGCTCCCTTCATCATAAAAACATATGGAAAAAGTATTAAGCACCTGGTTGGAGCAAAGAGTAACTTCCATGCTTCAACAAAGGGGAATTATCAGATTACTGGGGATTGAACTACTCTATTCAATAGAAAAGAGGTGTAGAAAACAAGATGGTTGATGCACCTTCTAAAATGGACTATGAAAAGCAGAAGAAAGAAAAAAAAGGTGGCGACACTATCTACAGTTACTACTAATTGACCCTCCTGGCTTTCAGAAGTCATGGAAAGCTACCCAGGAGATTCTTTTATTGAAGGATTGATGAAAGAATTGTTAATTAAGACATGTGCCTGACCACACTATCAACTCAATGACGGAATATGAGCTACAAGGGTAAGCTGGTTATCGGAATATTAGGATAATTAAGAGACAAACTAATACAAGATTGTCATGATATAGCGGTGGGAGGTCACTCAAGAACTAGATGCACTTATGAATGTCTCAAACGACATTTTTTATGGTCTAACATGAAAGAAAATCTGGTAGAATAGGTACAAAAATGTGAGATTTGCCAGAGGTGTAAAACAAAAAGGGCTGCACTGGCTGGGTTACTACAACCACTCTCTCTACTAACTCAGGCCTGGTCCCACATCTTCATGGATTTTATTGAACAACTTCCCAAATCGGGCAATAAAGACAAAATCCTGGAAGTAGTGGATCGCCTTACTAAATATGCTCACTTTGGAACCCTTAAACACACCTTCACTACTGCAAAAGTAGCCCAATTGTTTCTTGACAACATTCACAGACTGCATGGTATACCCAAGGTGATAGGCTCTGATCATGACAAGATTTTTACCAGCTTGTTCTAGAAGAAACTCATGAGGTTAACAGGGTCAACTCTCCACTAAAGTTCTTCCTATCATCACAAACAGATAGTAAAATAGAAAGACTTAATCCTAGTAGTGGTGCTACCGAGCAGAGTGAAAAACTGCATGCTGAAAAATATTTGAAGTTTGTTTAGTGCACAACTGAGAGAAGATATGAAAGACACAAGTTGAAGTTCAACATCATAAATGTGAAATATGCAGAATTATGGTTCTCTCCATAGTGCTCCAAACATTAAACAAATATCTCAATTATGCAATAGAGGAAAAAGAAAATATATGAATTTATTTCATTGACAAAGCATCTTGGGTATATATCATATCCAAACATCTTAAATTTCTAAACAAAGTTTGATACTTTGAAGTAGCAGGGGACCAACCTCATGTAAATATAGTTGGAGGAAGGACAAAGCAAAGCTTATGTACTTCTCCGTGTGCATTTTATGGTCAACCAACATGTAAGTTGACATTTGTCCTTGAAACCATCCATAAAGATCTAGCAATGCTTTGTTTCTATTACAACAGGCTGGGGCCAAGTTTGAGTCGATAGGCAATCTTGAATTTTCATTTGTGCAGAGACATTTCTTTTCACCATCTCCTCTTAAGGTGATTAAACTTAAGGAACACCTCAGGAAGAGCAGAACAGCCAACCTCTGTAAATGGCGTGAATATGTACAGGAAAACTTTCCACCAGAAACACTAACTGAAAATGGAGAACTATCTAAACAGTCACCTTGACCAAACTCTGGTTGATTTATAGGTTGCTGCAAGGATTCTTCAAAATAAATATGCAAAAGTTGCAACCACGCCGCAAGAACTGAACATTCTAGATGAGCTAGGAAACTTAGTCTTATCATCAACACCTGCAAACATTTTTAGCCAATATTAAGTCAAATCATATTATGATGATAAATATTTAGCGTAGAAGATGAAGCAGGGAATTTTAAAGTGTAACAGGACAAATATTTGTACAACATGCATACAGTGTCATACAAGTTGCAGTGCAGTAGGACCATACATCATATATCTTTAAAATATATATCCTAAAGAGTAAATGAAGCCTGTTCCCTGCTGCTTTCGTGAAAGCACAGAATGAGAAAGATGTTTTAAAAAGTTACCAGAGGCCAGGGAAAAAAATGAAATAAAGGAAGTGAAATGATGTGAAGTCTGAGATATACATGCTTATAGTGTCATATAAATTGAAATGCTGCAGGACCATACATCATATATCTTTAAAACATATATCCTAAAGAATAAATGAAATCTGTTCCCTGCTGCTTTTGTGAAAGCACGGGAGAAACATGTTTAAAAAGGTCATCAGAGGCCAGAAAAAAAATGAAATAAAGGAAGTGAAATGATGTGAAATCTGAGATATTCGATAATATACTACAAAGAATTTTAATATGAAAAAGTTTGGCTCTTCAGCAGCAAACCAGCAAACCAGCAAAATATGCTCTAGGGAAAATTAGCAACAATTTTAAATAAATTTTCCATCAGTATTAATCTCCACAATCCAATGACACCTAGCTCTTAATTTAATTGTTTCCCCACTGTGCTGTAGTATGGTCTTTCCAAATCCAAACCCTGTAATTTTCTAAATTCAGTCCTAGTAATTCTTCTGTTATTTTATATAAATTTATTAGTTTTAAGGGGAAATGTGCATGTCTTTAAGAGGAAATGTGCATGTCTTTAAGAGGAAATATGCATGTACCTGTGGTCCTAATCATGAACATGTAGGTTCATGTCTAAACAATTCAAAATTAGTGGGGAAAGAAACTAAAAGATTATAAGATATTAGTTAAGAAACTAATGATTTTTTATCTAAAATGACAAAAAAAAATAGGAATTGAAATATCACGTAATAAACCAGACGGTTTGAGTTTGCAATAAAACTAAACAAGTAGTAAAACTGTAATTTGACCCATTATTCATTGCAGCAGTTTATGTAAACTTGAATTCTCAATTTGAGGGCAAATACACTTCATGCTAGGTGATTGTTTATTCCATGCAGTTGTTCCTAGCATGTGCAGTACAATATAGAAAGTAACTACATTAGATCCTTCTAATGAATCCCACAAGGTCCACAAATAACTCCTCTGACATAAATTATATTTTCTAATAGAAATTTAATCTACTTGTATGATCTTTAAATTGTTTCTTTTTCTTGAAAAGAGAATGATCTTTGAAATACTATAAGCACATGAACAAGAAAAAAAGAAACGAAATCCATACCAATAATTTGTGCCTGAAATAAAGGGTCATGCAATGATTAACAGAGTTTTCATCTTTGCCAAGGCACCAACTCAGAAGTCTGGGTATGAGATTTATGACTTTGACAATAATAGGATGCTTACTCTGCAAAGTGCCAGAAGCTTCAGAGAAATTGCTTAGCTCAACCAAGGAAGACAGGAACTGCAAAAGATTTCCTAGAAATATAATTTTTCGCTCTTCCACAGAAATACATCTGAGGTTTGAAGCATCAAGCCGAGAGCCTTCGTTTGTGTCAATACTCGGGTCAAAGAACTTGTCCAATTGGCACCAAGGGATTTTTGAAAGAGAAGAACTGATTGATTCTAAGTAGACTTCAACAAGCTCATCCTCATGCTCTTGCTTCAAATATTTTAATATGTTGCGGAGCACTCGAATTGTACCAGCCACAACAGACCAGTTACCTTTTTTTAATCTACATCTTAAAAGAACAAAAGAACTAGATGAACCGCAATTCAAGTGTCCTAGTCCAACCACTGAAGATACTGAAGAGTTTGAAAGAATATTCATGATTGCTAATTCCATGGAGACACACAACAATTGAATAAAAATATCCCAGTCACTTCCCTGCAAAATGCTTACAGTTAAAGAAGAAATGTTGAGCATAGAGAATGTAACAGCCGTGCACGACAAAGCTTGAAAGCCGGGAGACATACCGATGCAACTAGAAACTCTGAGATAACGCCAAGAATGTTGCCAGATAGATGTTGAATATATTGACTCTTGACACGTAGCAAACCAATCTAACATGAGAAGCAAAATCTAAAATTGTAGTTTAGGAAAGCAAATCAGAAGCTAGAAATAACTTTCGGTTAGCAACAGATTTCAGCAGTGAAGGCAACATTATTCTACAAACACGCAACAGAGAAGGAGATATGCTAAATGCAACATCATTGGAATCTACAATTTAATTGTTTCGTTAAACTAGAGTTACCAATTCAGCTACAATCCGAGTCATACAGCAGTTTTCCTCCGAGTTAGACATGGAACAACCTCCGCACTTCGCGCCACTAAAAGATTCCTCGGCCGTCTCCTGTGGAGCAATTAAAATCTTTGAATATCTTTGCATCTCTCTTTTTTTTTTCTCTTTCTCGTTGAACATATATATTATTTAAAACTTAAAGAATCAAATGCTCAAATAAACACACACACATATATTTATATATATATAGATATATATATATGTCTACAAGGAAAGAGTTGAGTCTAACGCTGTTTGAATCCCGATCCATATCCCGTATCCAGAGCTGAATTTCTTTGAATATCTAGACAATTATTCAGTTAACAAAATAAGATATTTTACTACATATATCTGAGTCTAACATATGTATGTAAATAATAATCAGAGAAGTTAGGGTTACACAGGAGAGAAATGGAAAGTAACCTGAGAGAGTGAGATAAGAAGTCGCTTCTCCTCCTCTTTTTTCAGAAAAACTAAATATGATTCCTGCAAGATGCATGTTAGCAAACAAAGTTGTAGATTGACATATCAGACGAGATAGACGATCGGGAATTGACTAGAAAAGAAATTGAGTTTTCAAATAACACAAAGTATTGGAGAACTGACAGTGTAGGGACGGAGAGAGTCGTTGATCAGACGGCAGAGACGCGAGTGCTCCGAAAGAACAGACATTTTCTTCCCCAGTCGATGATGGTTCAGAAGAAATATTCTTTTTCTCTCAACTGTAGCCGCAATTGGAGTTCTTTTATTGTTTCCTCTCGTGATGAGCGAGAACGCTCCGTTTTGATCTAGGCGCGAAAAAGAAAGCCACCGGTGATTCTAATATTAGAAACGGATTATTCTAAAATTCATCTCTAAATTTTTGGTTATTTTAAAATTTAGAGTTAATTTTTTAATTTTAAAATTATTAATTGTTATTAGAACTTAATTTATTTTTACGCAAGTTTTCTAATCTCAAGCAGAAATAATAAAGGAAGATCACAGATCTCTAATTAGAAACTTGAAGATATGAGAAAAGATGGACAACTCCAAAGAATACCTTTCAAATGAAGCTTTTCAGGTAAAGTCCTTGTAGAAACCTATCAAAAAAAATAGCAACAAAGATAGAAAAACAAGAAATACCAAAGAGAGCTTAAGAAAGAGAGAGAGGAGTAGAGCAAAAATCCTAATAGGGTTTTGAAATATCATATTTTCAAATGATCTATTATTTTTATTCACATAAAAAATGACCTTATATATGTATGAGAAAAGTGGTGTACATGCACACACAACATAGAGTTACTACTTCAAAAACCCTAAAGATTCTACACATACATTGATACATATATAATTTTTTATTAAAATATTAAAAGGGTTCACGTGTATCTTACTTGGGTTTCTTTCCGGATTGGTTGGGCCCGATTCTTGTCATTCCTCCTTAAAAAGGAGAATAAATATTCGACTCCCATCTTGAATAAATGACTGTACAAATGAAAATTCGGTAGTATCTTTTTAAAGGTATTATCCAATTGTTCCTTGCTACCTACATGTTTAGTATCAATACTTCTATTTTTTGTACTTTTTTAGGGACTAAATGACAATCCAACTCAATGTGTTTAGTTTTTTTATAAAAAACAAGATTGGTCATGATGTACATTATTGCCTTATTGTTACAATATATGGTTGTTGCTTATGGATGTCCAATATTCATACCATTTAACAAATACCTTGTCCATGTCAATTAATAACTAAAACTTATCATTATTCTATATTTTGTTTCCGCCCAAGATCGTGATGTGGTATGTTGTTTCTTGGATTTTTATGATATTAGAGAAGATCCAAGAAACGCACAGTATCTAGTGATGGAGTGTGATGTATAAGGGAAAACTCCCTAGCCACTATCATAATAACCGTTAAGTTGCAAAATTGAGTCACTAGAATATAATGGACCTCGTCCTGGTGAGTAGTTGATGTCTCTCATAATCTTATAGGCTAGATCAAAATGTGTATTTCTCAGTTGTTCCATAAATTGGCTTAACAAATGTATAGAATATGGTAGATCTGATATAGTGACTGTCAAATACATTAGTCTTCTTGTAATACCCGGACTCAAAAAATTGGTCCGGTATAAATTTTATTAATTTAGATATGTATAAAAAATAAAATGAAATACATTTTATGAATTAATTTAATGAAAATTTTGTTTTATTTGGGAAAAAATAGAATATGGATGAAATTAAAAATAATTTTAGTAAAAAATGGTGAAAATTTGGGTTCATGAGGTATTTTTAAAAGAAAAATTAGAAAGTGTAGGTCAGAACGTAATTAAGAAAAATTTTACCATGTAAGACCGCCTAATCAGCAACCTCGACGAATCGAAGCGCGTCACGTGGCAAAGCATGTTGACTCGGTGTCACGCGGGAGGCCACGCTAGTGATCTGCATGCCTCGTGATCGGACGACCCAGAAGCGTCCCCGCACGCGTGGATGGCCCGGATCCATTCCCTCTTCAGGCGCGATCGGACTGTCGCAATCAAACACGATGAACAGTCCAGATTCGTTTCCTTCTTAGACGTAATCGGACAGTCGAGATCAAATACGATGAACAGCTCATATTCGTTTCCTCCTTAGGCGTGATCGAACGATTGAGATTAAAACAATGAACGACCCAGATTAACGCAAGATGGGTATAAATATTTTACATCACATAGAACCCGACCCCGAGCCGCTAGCCCCTCGCCAAAGAAGAAGAACCAATCGTCGGAGAAGAGAGCTGAACACTGCCCACCGCTGCATCGGATCCACCTCTGATCGCCAAAAAAGGTTGACTGAATAAAAACATCCAACTGTGAAAGTGAGCCGACGGAGCTGCCGCCCTGAAAAATCCCACCACCGAAAAATTCAGAAAACCTGAGAATCGTCAGTAAGTGCAATAGAAAGTTCGGTATTTTAGACATCGATTTGGATAAGTATCTCTTACCGTATTCTCTGTTATGAAATTGAAACTTAATAATCAATAATGTGGTATTTTGTACAATTTAGGAAACTCTGAAAATAACTACAGGTTACTAATGGAGTTGGAACCGGTTAGTCATTTATTTGTCCTATTTAGCTGATTGTTGAGTTTATAGCTTTAAGTACATGATAATATACTGAAATGCTTAAATGATTCAGTTGTGCTTCCTTGATATATATTTATTGTTTGTCTTGCATGATTTACGGTTGATTTATGAAATTGAAAATTTATATGCAAACGAAAAATTACTTGGTTATGTGAATTAATAAATTGTTGTCTTACTGGATATTCTGGGAGAATATGGACGGACCGGATACATAGAAAACTCTACCGTGAACGTTACCTCATACCGAACGGGGTATCGAGGAATAATATTTTTGGCACTCATACCAACGGGGTATGGGGACGACTTGATTCACCTTCATACCGTACGAGATATCGAGGGATGGTATTTTTGGCGCTCATACTGGAAGGAGTATGGGGACGGCCAGTTAGTCGACAAGTTTAGATATTAGTTCACGCATAGTGGGACATCCCTATAGACCCTCAGGGATACCATTAAGCAAATAAAAAAGAAAAGTTATTATTTTTGCTAACTTAAATATGAGATTATAATGTTATTTGAGTTATTGTTTCTATAGATCGATTTTTGAAATCTCACAACGGTAAGTATGCAATAAATAGTTTTACTTATGATCAATAAATTTACTTAAATTAAGAGCTACATTAGTTCTTTTTATGATTTTTACCAATTTTCAGTTTTTGTATCGGTGAATAGTGTGATATTCTTACTAGACTAGTGTAGTTCACCCTTTCATTAACTATTTCAGATCAAGAGGACTAAGATCCAAATTCCGATCAATAAGAGAATTGTGAATAGTTCACCATCTGAACTCCCTTCAAAAGCTAGTAAAGGTCGTCATAGGATGCTCAGTTGTTTACTTTTCGTTTATTTCTTTGATTTTTATTTGTTCTTTTAGAATAGACATTTATGTAGCCCTATTGGATATTCTAAATTATTGTGTAAGGAATGTAAACTCTAACTCTATTATTTCGCTTTCGCATTCAATTTATAATTTTATTTTCTTTTAAATTTCGGCCATTTTACACTTCTGATAAGTTTTTTGTACATATTAGGGTCAAAGATTATATCCGTATCTTCTTTTTTAGATAGATTGAAATTTTGGTCAAGCAATAACTTTGAAATTCTTGCATCCAATGTTACAGTGTCAATCAACAAATTCAGAATATATTTACATTGGTAAATGTGGATCACTTTTTTGGAACATGCCCCCTCAATTTCTAGGAAATATTTGAGCTCCCCAAGGTCCTATATCTTTAACATCTCATTTACTATGTTTTTTAGCTTGTTAATCATTGTCGTATTATTTCTCGCTATGATTATATCATCTATATAGACTAATAATGTCATGAAGTCTTCTCCATCCCTTCACGTAAACAAGCTAAAATCTACGTTGGATTGTACAAAATCTTGTTCAACATCAAAATTAAGAACTCTACATACTGTTGTGAAGCTTGCTTAAACTCATAGATGTTTTTTCATTAATAAAAAAACCTTGAATTTCCTCTATTATTGTAGCCTAGTGGCAACTCTATGTAGGCTTCTTCATTAAGTTTTTATTGCAAAAATGCACTATTCACATCAAATTGGCATAAATGACAACCGTTGATTGCTGCAAGTGGTAAGAGTTATCACAGAGACAATTTTAGTAATGGAAAAAAAGTCTCATGATAATCAAGTCCTTCTTATTGAATGAAGCCTGATGCAACTAATCTTGCCTTATATTTCTTAATTGTTCTATCAGCATGGAATTTGACCTTATACACCCATTTACTAAAATGGCTTTTTTCCCATGTGATAAATTAGTAACTTTCCAAGTCTTATCCTGTTTTAGTGTTTTTACCTTTTTTTTCATGGATTTTCTCCATCATGGACTCTTAAATGTCTCTTGAAATGAATATAGTTCCTTTTGGGAATTAAAAAAGAACACAAATCTCTTTTACCTTTTATTAATCATGTCATGTGAGAGAGTAGTTGATACAAGATATAACATATTTCATTGGAATCTTGTGTTGATTCATCTTTGACTTGCTCAAACACAAAATCTCTTAGATACAAAGGTGTACTTCTCATTTTACTTGATCTTCTTGTTGCGCATAAGGCCACAGTTGCAATGTTGTCTTTCTGCGAAGTATCTTTGTGCTCTCTTTCATCATCAGGTGACAAAACTATTTGAGGCAAGTCTTTCTCTAATAGTATTGCACGTTACTATCTTCTAGACTTACTTTTTGGTTTCTCTCTCTTGTAGACTAATTACCTCCCTACATTTTGACTCTGAACAATCACAACTCACTATTGAATGGGTAAATAAGTTATTGCCATATTGTTAGCTACAGGCTTGTATAAGAACATTTTTTTGTAAAAATATCACATTCCTTGAGATAAACACCTTTGCCTCGAAATTTAGAAGTTTATATCCTTTAGTTCCTAAGGGATATTTTAAAAAAATGCACTTTGTCGCTTTGGGATCAAACTTTTGTCTGTTATTAACTGTAGTAGAGACAGAGACCAAGCACCTAAAAACCCTCAAATGGTTATATGTTGGTTTGGAGTTAAAGAGTAGCTCAAACGAAGTTTTTTTATCAATAGCTGATGAAGGATTCTATTTATCAAATACATGGTTGTCAAGACAAAATCACTATAATACTTGGGACTATGTCCACTATGAAACTTTAAAGCTCTAACAATATTCGTAATG